ATTTTCAATGGTGAAGTTAATTAACAAGGTTGCTTGGAAGATTAACTACGAGAAGAAGCTTTGTCCAAAATTGTAATCAAGTTGAATCGAATTCCTTGACTAAGTCTGATGAATGTGCGTGTTGGGAGATCTAATTAAGCTCCTTAACTGTAGGGTGATGAGTTGTATGCACAGAGTTGTCTACGCTGGAATATATGAACTCTTTATTCATGGGATTAGTAGAATCAATTACCCTCTTGCTGTAAAATTTGAGGTCGAAATTTGATGAACAAACATGATGATTAGCGAGTTCCAAATGCTTAAAGAGATACAACGGAGATTGAGTTGAGACGAAACTTAAGATAATAGTTGTTAATCACATACTAACTACATCAAGTAAGTACTGAGTCAAACTTGAAAACTTAAGACCATCTTCAACAGTGGGCTAAATCCTCAAATTTAGCTAATTCACACCTAAAACCCGTCTCCAGCAAGTGGGATAAATGTGACATGTCACCATGCCAAACCCAATTGGCAGGCCAAAGGGGCCAAATATTGGACCAAATGTGGCCTACTTCTTGAGTGGGCTATATCTTATTTTATTATTAATTGAGTGGGCTATTTGTTGTTTTTAAATTAATGTTTTACGTTCTTGGAGATGGTCTAAGAGCATTCAAAATGGGCTTTATAAATCACATCCTTAGCGAAAATAATGAAAATAATGAAATACTAATTATTTATTTAAGGATAAGATAATAATTAATTACAAATATTAAACTAAACAAAAAAAAAGGACCCGCCCAGGCCGCCTAGCGCCTAGGGCCTAGGCGCCCAGACGGCCTTTTGTTTTTTGTTGTTGTTGGAGCAAATTACACACAGGTATATCCGCTTCTGTTAAAGATTTGTTCTCATTAACACAAAACGTATGGAATCAAGCATTGCACTTTTGTTTTCAGGCTATTGTTCAAACAGAAACTGAACGGCAAATTGATCATATTTAAATCAATCCAATACACACAGGCTGGTCAACTCTACAGTTGAAACTGTTCATTTCATCACATCCTCAGCCTTTGGAGCAAACCTCAGCTCTGACAGCAGATCAATCCCAAAAACAGCATCAACCCGAGCTCTCCGAGTTGCATATGTTCTCGAATTTGTCTCGCCTTTGAAGAAAAGACTGAGCAGATTGTTGGAAAACCCAGTGATAATTATCCCTGCATTGTGATTCTTCACAGGGCTGCCAATGACCTCAGGCTCAGCAATTGGGTTCTTAAGATTCCAAAGCACCAACTGTGGTACAGTTGCATACCCTCTATTTCTGTTCTTAAAGGCCTTCTCAAAATCAATCAAATGCAGGAGAAGCCAGAGCATTTTTAGAGAAAAAAGATATTCCATACATAAATAAAAAAAGAAAAACTTCAAGGGATATATCATATTATATATATGTATATATTCTGCAGGTTCCCAGATTAAAACCCATATGAATTCCGCAACTAATTTCTTCTTGGTGTTTGAATATTTTCTGTGATATTTCTTGTGGGACTAATGGCAAACCATGTACAGAAAATTAACTGAAGTCTATATCTGTAGATGTCATGTTTAGTTAGAATTGAAAACGAAATCCCAAAAGAACAGATTCATACTATGATTGAACAAAACTTATTATGTTGATCGTATTTACATCAATCGAATACAAAGAGGCTCGTCAACTCTTCAGTTGAAACTGCCCATTTCATCACATCCTCACCCTTTGGAACAAGCCTCAGCCCTGACAGTACATCAATCCCACCAAAAGCACCATGTACCTGACCTGCATATGTTCTCGAATCAATCTCGCCTTTGAAGAAAAGACTGAGCAGATTGTTGGAAAACCCAGTGAGTTTAATCCCTACATTGTGATTCTTCACAGGCCTACCAATCTCCTCAGGCTTAGCAATTGGGTTATTAAGATTCCAGAACATCAACTGTGGCACATTAAAATACCCTCTCTTTCTGTAATTATCCAAGGCCTCCTTAAAATCCAGCACCCAATTGTTCTTAGAGGCCTTCTCAAAATCCCTGTATGTGAACACAAAAATCCTTTTAGGAACCTTGGCATTACCCTCTGCGATGGCAATCTGCAGAACTTGATTGTAAATCTTTGAAAAATCCACCTGCTCAGCACACTCTATATGTCTCATGAACTCACATTTGGACTTAAGATTGTCTCCTTCAATTTTGTGCAGCCTTGGGAAATCGCTGAACGAGAAAACAGAACCTTGCCATGGTTTTTCGCTGAGCTCCGAAACCAACAACCCCATTGAAATGCAAACCATCTCCTTCAATGTCCCTCTCTTGCTCTCAGGGAGATCACACACTGCAATACAATTCCTGAGCTTCCCTGTGTTCTGCAACTTGTGGACTACTCTCCGCCATTGAAGCTCTGCAATCTCATCATCACAGCCGCCATGTTCCTTCTCCAATGAGGCCACCACCTGGTGAGGAAGATTTAGCTGGTCACCAAAGCACATGTTGAAAATAGTTTTCTTTCGTAATAGCATGTCCACAAGCTTCATGCAAATGTTGATTGGCAATTTGCTTTCATCATGGCCTCCACCAACACCACAACTAAAGATCTTCCTGTAGATTTCCAAAGCAATCAGCGCCTTGCGGTTCTTGAACGATGATGATGACTTGTTGTTCTGTTTCGCAGCCGTTGAGCACTCCAATGCCTTGCGCAGGGGGCTAAGTACTTGTTTCCTCAATCGATCACGAACCCTATAAGAATAATGAGCTTCTTCAACATCTTTGTACTCTTCAAAATTATGGCGTGAAAACATTCTCTTTGCTATGTTTTCACATATCAAAGTTTCTCTGTCGTAAGACGAATCAATCGAAGGACATAATTTGGAAACAGAGCTGATTTTTTCAATCTCGCCAGACTCCAAAGACAATAAATCTGATGTCAGTATTTCCACAAACACTTCGGATACAATATCGTGCAACAACCGATAGTCTGGGTCGTTTTGGTACCTATCAACCGCGCTCTTCGCTCTTGCAATGCGAACTTCTCTGACTGGCTTGATCTCTTTCTTCTCTTTCTCCTCCTTTTCCTTTGTTTCATTTGTTTCATCCGTGGACCAATAGCGGGACCAATAGCCTGACCAATAGCTATTCCTAAGTTTCTGTCTCTCTTCCTCCTCCTTTTCCTTTGCTTCATCTATGGGTATCTGCAAAACCCTATAAAGAATCTCCAATAGATCTTTGAACCAACCCAATTCCACAAAAACCTTGAGATTCAAAGCCAAGGTTAGAGGGTGGTTTTTGTGGAGCCACACGAGGGATTTGTAAAAGGCTTCTTTGTTGGGCCTCACCGCCATTCTCAGGCAAAATATGAGCTTGAGAGTTGTGAGAGGATCATGGTTCCATGCCTTTGCTTCATATGTCATCAGATCCTCCTGGCACCGATACAAGTACGCGTGCGTGGGAGGGTTTTCTTTGGATTTATCAGAGTATGTGGTGGCCTTGAAGAAGAATTCAAGGCAGGGGTTTAAGGGTGGGTTTGAAGAAAAAGACCGGCCTTTACCCAGTGGGGGGTTTTCTTCATGAGGTTTGATGATGGTGGAAATGGGGTGGTCAAGGTGGAGCTCCGGTGGGCCCAGAAGACAAGCTGTAGGAACCATGATTAGGGTCTAAGGGTGGGTAGAACGACTACACAGTCGGATTGGATCGATGGGTTCTGGTTTTAGAAAGATTTGTGGCTTATTTATAGGATGAAATTACTTGGTCATCAAGTATATTGTAGGTTATGATAACATAACCGAGCTTGGCCATCATCATCTGTTGTTTTTTTAAATTTATCCAAGCTAATTTGTAATTTATTTTACTGAAATTAATTTGTTAACTTTTTACCTGCAATTAATAAGCTAAAATTGTTGCAAGTCAAAGATTTCTTTCGTTTTATTTTTGTTTTGTTTTCCATTCTAGTGCCAATTTTGAAACAATAAAGCCATTTAAATAACATAAGCAATTAAATAATTTCTAATTAAGCCATTTAATGATAATCATAAGATTGGATGAGATAGGTCATGAGTATACATGTTAATTAAATTCAAACTACGAGCATCTCCAATAGTATTAGCAAATTAAAGTTTGTTGACCTATGTGGCAATTTGAAAAAGTTTATTTGCTACTTGAATATTTTTTGCTCCAACTGACTTTTCAATTCAATTAATACAATATCATGAAAAATATGAAAACATGTGAAAAGTGTATGTATTTATTATAAGGAAAGAAAAAATGCATGTTTTCAACATTTTCAAGGTAATTAAGTTTTGTTTTTCCAAAGTAAAATTAAATGTTTTGAAGAGCCAAAGTCAATTTATCAGTCCTGAAGAGAGAGTTACATACTAAATCGAACCTGAAAACTTAAGGGCCCGTTTGATAACCATTTTATTTTTAGTTTTTAGTTTTCATTTTTCATTTTTGCGCTAGAGTATAGAGGAAAATGAGAGTGAGAATGAGAGTGAGGATGAGATTGAGAGAGACAATGAGAAGGAGGAGTAATAAAAGTGAAAACAAAATCTTGAAAGTGAAAAGAATTTGAAATAAATTTAGTTTTTGGTTTTACTTTTGTTACTCCTCCCTCTCATCATCTCCTCTCATATTCCATCTCAATCCCAATCTCCACTCTCATTCTCACTTCCATTCTCCCTCTTTTTCCTCTATACTCTAATACCCAAAAAAACTAAAAACTAAAAACTGAAAACTAAAATTGAAATGGTTATCAAACAAGACCTAAGTAATTAGATTTAGATGAAAAGTTCATATCATTGTGGAATTTGTTTTCCATTAACAATTATATGCCCATTTCAGAATATAATGACCATTAAAATGTATTGAAAGATGCTAGCTAGCTAATAGTACAGAAAATCAACCGAGTCATATTTCATCCTTGGTAAAAATTGAAAACAAAACCCAAAGAAAAGATTCATATATTATGATTGAACAAAACTTATTACAAGATGTTGATCATATTCACATCAGTCGAATACAAAGAGGCTCGTCAAGTCTTCATTTGAAAGTGCCCGTTCCATTACATCCTCAATCTTTGGAGCAAACCTCCGGAGTGACACAAGATCAATCCCAAAAGCAGCACGTCCCTGAGCAACCCGAGCTGCATATGTTCCCGGATTCGATTCCCCATTGCAGAAAAGACTGAGCAGAGTGTTGGAAAACCCAGTGATGATCATCCCTGCATTGTGATTCTTTACAACATGGCTACCAATGAAGTTAGGCTCAGCAATTGAGCCCTTCAAATTCCAAAACACCAACCGTGGCACATATGCATACCCTCTCTTACTGTAATTCTTCACAGCCTCCCTATAATCCAGCACCCAATCATTCTTAGAGGCCTTGTCAAAATCCCTATGTGAACACAAAAATGCTTTTAGGCATCTTGGCATTGCTCAGCTTCTCCATCATGGCAATATGCAGAACTCCATTGTAAATCTTTGAAAAATCCACATTCTCAGCACACACTATGTTCCTCATGAACTCACATCTGGACTTGAGATTGTCTCCTTTGATTTTGTGCAGCCTTGGGAAATCGCTGAATGGAAAAACAGAACCTTGCCATGGTTTTTCGCTGAGCTCCGAAACCAACAACCCCATTGAAATGCAAACCATCTCCTTCAATGACCCTCTCCTGCTCTCCGGGACATCACACACTGCAATACAATTCCTGAACTTCTCTTTGTTCTGCAACTGTTGGACTAGTCTCTGCCATTGAACCTCTGCAATCTCATCAGCACCACACTGATCCTTCTCCAATGAGGCCACCACATGGTGGGGAAGCTTTAGCCCATCACCAAAGCACAAGTTGAAAATATAATTGTTTGGTAATAGCATGTTCACGAGCTTCATGTAACACTTGAATTTCAATTTGCTTTCATCACGGCCTCCACCATCACAACCAATGATCTTACTGTAGATTTCCAAAGCAATCAGCTCCTTGCATTTCTTGAACAATGATGATGACTGGTTGTTCTGTTTCGCAGCCGGTAAGCACTCCAATGCCTTGCGCAGGGGGCTAAGTACTTGTTTCCTCAATCGATCACGAACCCTATAAGCATAATGAGCTTCTTCAACATCTTCGTACTCTCCAAAATTATGGCGTGGAAACATTCTCCTTGCTATGTTTTCACATATCAAAGTTTCTCTGTCGTAAGACGAATCAATAGAAGGACAGAATTTGGAAATAGAGCTGATCTTTTCAATCTTACAGCACTTCAAAGACAATAAATCCGATGTCAGCATTTCCACAAACACCTCGGATACACGATCGTGCAAGTATCGATATTCTAAATCGTTTTGATACCTATCAACCGCACTTTTAGCCCTGGCAATGTGAACATCTGTGACTGTTTTGCTCTCTTCGTTCTCTCCTTCCTCTTCCTCCTCCTTGCTTTCGTCGTCTTCCTCCTCATCGCTTTCGTGTTCCTCCTCATCACTTTCATCTTCCTCGGAGTCGGACCAATAATTCCTTTTACTAGGTTTCTGACAATAATTCGTACGTTTCTTCCAATACTCTTTCTGGCTCTCTTCCTCCTCCTTTTCCTTTGCTTCATCTATGGATTTCTGCAAAACCCTATAGAGAATTTCCAATAGATCTTTGAACCAACCCAATTGCGCAAAAACCTTGAGATTCAAAGCCAAGGTTAGAGGGTGGTTTTTGTGGATCCAAAAGAGGGATTTGTAAAAGGCTTCTTTGTTGGGCCTCCCCACCATTCTCAGGCAAAATATGAGCTTGAGAGTTGTGAGAGGGTCATGCTTCCATGCCTCTGCTTCATATTCTGTCAGATCCTTCTGCTGCTGATACATGGGAGGGTTTTGTTGGGATTTATCAGAGTATGTGGTGGCCTTGAAGAATTCAAGGCAGGGGTTTGAAGAAGAAGACTGGCCTTGACAGATTTTGATGGTGGTCGTGGGGTGGTAAAGTTGGAGCTCTGGTGGGCCACGAAGACATACTGAAGGAGCCATGATTAGGGTTTGGGGTGGTATAGTGAGTACTGTTGGATTGGATCGATTGGGTGAGTTATGTCGGCTGGCTTATTTATAGGATCATTGCTTGGGCATCAAGTATTGTTGTAGGTTATGATAACATAACCCAGCTTGGGCATCACGATATGTTATTATTTTCAATTTATCTTAATTTGTTACCTAATTCATTTCAAAGCCATTACGTTCTGTGGTGAAACAAGGTTTTGTTATATTATTAATAAAATCGACAGGTAAATTGCTTATTAAGGGTTCATTCGGATGGTTTAAACAAATAATTTAAATTTATTATTTAAATCCATATAAATTTAGATCCCTTCATATAAACATAATTAATCGAATCTATATCCATTGAATGAGAAATCACGACCTTAAACACTTGATTTAGCACTTTCTGGGAATTCTTGTTGGTTTGAAACTGCCACTAATTTTCTGGCTTTGATTTGAAGAATAAGGCCTACGAGCTCTTTGTTTTTTGGCAGAGATCTCTCCACACCAAGGATCCATCCATTCAATCAAACTAGGGAAGTTGATGTTGAATCTAAAGGATCTACTGCTGGATAGATACTTTTGGCAGCTAATCCCAGTGTTTCATGCCAGTTTTTCAAGCCATAGCCATATCATGCTGATCCAGAAGATGCAGCGTGCAATCGACCCGTACGAAGGGGTAATCCGACCACCAGTTTCATCCAACGACATCGAGGGAGCCCTACCATTCCCAGTAAGGAGATTCAAATTATTTGAGTGCAAGAAGTAGGACTCACTACCCTGACCAACAATGATGAAACAAGGCTTAATGTGCTAATAGTTATCTTCTTGTTAACTTTTTTACCACAAATAAGTCCGAAGAAGCTAAATCGAAACCAAAAACTTACGCACCCAGATGTAGACGAAAAGGTTTATATGATTGTGGAATTTGTTTTTCTTTAACAATTATATGCATCCATGATTTAAATTCACATTTCAGAAAAGAGGTTTTTTATTTTTTATATAAGTGATATCTTGGAGGGAATTCGTATACAGGATAAGTTACAAGTCCCTTGCAAAAAACAACATTTTTATATAATTATTTCTTAAAATTTGTAATGGCAAATTTGTACACATGGATTAGGTAGCTAGCTTTCTCCCCGATATAGCAAAATAGAAATCACTTTCCCAAGTTTATTCTTGAGTGAAAACCCATCTGTATGTGTCATCCTTCGTTAAAATGAAAATGAAATCCCAAAACAAAACAAACAAAAAAAAAATTCAGATTCATGCTTTGATTAAACAAAGCTTATTATATCGTGTGGTTCATATTTACATCAATCCAATATAAAGAGGCTCCTCAGCTCTTCGGTTGAAACTGCCCATTTCATCACATCCTCAGCATTTGGAGTAAGCCTCAGCCCTGACAGTACATCAATCCCAGCATGTACCTGATCTACTCGAGCTGCATATGTTCTCGAATTCGTCTCGCCTTTAAAGAAAAGACTGAGCAGAGTGTTGGAAAACCCAGTGACAATTATCCCTGCATTGTGATTCTTCACAGGGCTGCCAATGACCTCAAGCACAGCAATTGAGTCCTTAAGATTCCAAAACACCAACTGCGGCACAGTTGCATACCCTCTCTTTTTGTAATTATTCCAAGCGTCCTTATAATCCAGCACCCAATCGTTCTTAGAGGCCTTGTCAAATTCCTTGTATGTGAACACAAAAATACTTTTAGGCATCTTGGCATTGCTCAGCTTCTCTGTCATGGCAATCTGCAGAACTCGATTGTAAATCTTTGAAAAATCCACCTTCTCTGCGCACTCTATGTTCCTCATAAACTCACATTTCGACTGGAGATTGTCTCCTTCAACTTTGTGCAGCCTTGGAAAATCACTGAGCGGGATAACAGAACCTTGCCAAGGTTTTTCGCTGAGCTCAGAAACCAACAACCCCATTGAAATGCAAACCATCTCCTTCAATGTCCCTCTCATGCGCTCCGGGACATCACACACTGCAATACAATTCCTGAGATTCCCTTTGTTCGAAAACTCTTGGACTAATCTCCGCCATTGAACCTCTGCAATCTCATCATCACCGCCATGTTCCTTCTCCAACAAGGCCACCACATGGTGAGGAAGCTTTAGCCCATCACCAAAGCACATGTCGACAATAGTTTTCTTTGGTAGTAGTATGTCCACGAGCTTCATGTAACCCTTAATTTGCAATCTTCTTTCATCACGGCCTCCACCATCGCCACAACCAATGATCTTGCTGTAGATTTCCAAAGCAATCAGCCTCTTGCGGTTCTTGAACAATGATGATGACTTGTTGTTCTGTTTTGCAGCTGGTAAGCGCTCCAATGCCTTGCGCAGGGGGCTAAGTACTTGTTTCCTCAGTCGATCACGGACCCTATAAGCATAATGAGCTTCTTCAACATCTTTGTACTCTCCAAAATTATGGCGTGGAAACATTCTCCTTGCTATGTTTTCACATATCAAAGTTGCTCTGTCGTAAGATGAATCAATCGAAGGACAGAATTTGGAAGCAGTGCTGATATGTTCAATCTCACCAGACTCCAAAGACAAGATATCTGATGTCAGCATCTCCACAAACACCTCCGATACACGATCATGCAAGAACCGATATTCAAGGTCGTTTTGGTACCTATCAACCGCGCTTTTAGCCATGGCCATGCGAACATCTGTGACTGTTTTGATCTCTTCCTTCTCTTCCTCCACATCACTTTCGTCATAGTTGGACCAATACCTATTCCTAGGTTTCTGCCATTCATTCGAACGTTTCTTCCCATACTCTTTCCGTCTCTCCTCCTCATCTTCTTCCTTTTTCTTTGCTTCATCTCTGGATTTTTTCTTCGCTTCATCTATGGATTTTTTCTTTGCTTCATCTATGGATTTCTGCAAAACCCTATAGAGAACCTCCAACAGATCTTTGAACCAACCCAATTCCCCAAAAATCTTCATATTGAAAGCCAATGTTCAAAGATGGTTTTTGTGAACCCATAAGAGGCATTTATAAAAGGCTTCTTTGTTGGGCCTCCCCACCATTCTCAGGCAAAATATGAGCCTGAGAGTTGTGTGAGGGTCATGCTTCCATGCCTCTGCTTCATATTCTGTCAGATCCTTCTGCGGCTGATACATGGGAGGGTTTTGTTGGGGTTTATCAGAGTATGTGGTGGCCTTGGAGAAGAATTCAAGGCAAGGGTTTAAGGGTGGGGTTGAAGAAGAAGAATGGCCTTTACACAGTGGAGGGTTTTCTTGATCGGTTTTGATGATGGTGCAGATGGGGAGGTCAAGGTGGAGCTCCGGTGGGCCCCGAAGACAAATTGGAGGAGCCATGATTAGGGTATGGGCTGGGTATAGCGAGTACTGGGGGATTGGATCGAATGGTTTTGGTTTTCAGAAAGATTGGGTGAGTTATGTTGGCTTCATTTGTGGCTTATTTATAGGAAGAAATTTCTTGGGCATCAAGTATTTGGAGGTGATGATAACATAACCGAGCTTGGTATCAAGTAAATTATAAACTAATTTGTAACTTTTTCTTAACTCACACTCTAAAGCCATCTGTGATGAAACCAATTCTTTAAACTAAAATATCATAAGCAATTCCCTCAAAAAGAAAAATATCATAAGCTATTAAATAATATTTCTAATTCAGCCATTTAGTGATTATCATAACATAGGTCGAGATACGTCATGGGTGTACGTTACATTCAAATCAAGGTTAAACCCTTCAATCTGCCACCAAACTAGGTAAAAATTTGAAGGTGAATTCAAGTCAAATTAAGATAGGTCTAGAGGGTGGATTATAATAAAATCTTACTAACTTTTTTCCGGTCTCTTCGCAAAGTCTAATGGTGTTTCTCTTCCCAATATTAAAATAAGTTTCTAGCTCATTGATTTAATAAAAAATAGGAAAATTCAGTTACTAAACAAAATATTAACCATCTAATCCCCAAGTTGAGTTTGCCTACCAAAATAAAGACTTGTGCTCCTTATACGAAAACACCCCAAGTCACATACATGATTGACACTCAGTTGATGGTAGCTCTCAAAATGAGTCACATCCCAATCCATCTGACCATCACCCACACCTACGGCTAGCCTCTAATTAGTCTCAACTCAACCCAATCAATAGTTGACAATCATTCATAAATTTTGACACACTACATACAACCATTGATCGAATGTAGTTCTCGCGTATCGAGTATAACACTAATCAACAACACAAAGTCAGTATATGAAATGGAAGCATGAATATCGTAGATGCTCATGGCAGAAAGGAACATAAATTTATTCTCTCTTTTTAAAAAAATTAATAAAAAACTTTGAAAGTGCATTTGCGCGGCGTTCGACTTGTTTTTGGTAGTGTTCGTTGGTCCTTAATTCTGAAAATGTTTCCCCTATTTATAGGAAAATATGCCGCCCTTGTAAGCTCGACCAAAAATATCTTCACCACCTAAAGCTTGCGTGTCTGATGTTGCTCGGCAATTTCCACCTTGATAATGAATTTGCAAGTCCCAATGTCGGCTTTATCTAAGTTCCTAATTCTAATCACCCTTCCCCCGTTCAAATCACACTTCCCTCAAATTAAGGTTGACAGTCATTTGATGGTTACATCCTAATCTAATTTGCCAATCACCAACACCTACGATTTTTCACAGCAAAGTGACAATTCTGAACTTCCTCCAAATAAGATCATTGTCAGAGAAAATTATGGGATTTTCAAAAACCAAAACTAACAGCAGTGGAATTGAATTGCAAAAGAAATTTGGAATTCAGCCTCTGCAGTTATGTACAGAAAATCAACCAAATGCAGGAGAAGCCAAACCATTCTTAAAAGAACAAGGCAGTCAAAATCTAATGAAACATTCATCATTCTATGTCAAGGAACATAAACATGTTTCCATCAATCAAATACAAGAAGGTTATCGAATTCTGGTCCTGAAATTGCACATTTCATCACATCCTCTGGTCTGGGAATGCATTTCTGGACATCAATACCATAAGGTGCCACTACAAGAAAAATAACTTATGACAACATGTAATCAACAACGTGCATTCATATGCGTTGTGGAACAATATTTTTAACAACCCGCAGAAGCAGCATGTTGTATTATACAATTTATAACAACGTGCGTGTATAGCGTGTTGTCAAAATATAGAATAGAGCTATTTTCACAACGCGGCCTTGCATGTTGTAGTAGTTTTAAGTTCTACAACGCACGAAGCGTGTTGTCAAAATTATATGAATTTATTAAATAAATAAAATATTGGCGGAAAAGAGAGTGCTTGGATCTGATGAGCTGCATATGGTCTTGAATCTGACTCTCCATTCAAGAACATAGTGAGCATATTGTCTGAAAACCCAGTTAAACTAAGACCTACTTTATGGTTCTCCTTCAATGGGCAATTAATAACCTCTGGCTCACGCATGCCACCCTTAAGATTCCAAAAAACCATATCTGGCACAGTCTGATACCCTCTTCTTCTGTAATTCTTCAAAGCCTCTTTATAATTGTCCTGCCAATCGCATTCGAAGGCTTTCCGAAAATCCCTGTTGGTGAACACAAAAATCCTCTTGGGCATCTTATCAGGGCTTAGATTTTGTGAGGTTGCAGTGTCCAAGATTTGGTTGTAAACTGCTAAGAAGTCCAATTTCACAGAACACTCTATCTGCCTCATGAAGTTGCACTTGGACTGAAGATTTTCTCCTTCGATCTTGCAAAGCTTGGGAGAAAGGCTAAAGGGAAAAACCATTCCATTCCATGGATTTTCACTCAGTTCTGAAATCAATAACCCCATTCCAATGCAAACCATATCCTCGCATGTCTCTCTCATGCTCTCTTGGATGTCACATACGGCAAGACAATTCCTCAGCTTCCCTTTGTTTGAAAAATTTTGGACTAGTGTATGCCATTCAAGCTCTGATCTTTCATTATGTTCCTTGTTTATGAACCAACGCTTGTACAAGAAAGGAAATACTATTTGGTGTGGAAGTTCTAGCCCATCACCAATGCTTACCCGGAAAAATTCAACAACATTTATATAAAGCTTAAATTGAGATTTGCTTCCATTTCCCCCCCCATTTTCCATCAAATACAATTTGCTTTCATATTCTCTCTCATTGCTCAGGATCCTCCTGTATCTTCTCAAACCAGCCAGGGCCTTAGGGTTTTGGGATAATAGCTGTGGTACAGTAGGAACATACCCGATCTTCCTTGGTGATGATGATGATTCTAGCACTTTGCGCAGAGGAACAAGTACTTGTTTCCTCAAACGATCACGAACCCTGTAAGCGTAATGAGCTTCTTCAAGCTCACTGTAATCTTCATAGTCATGGCGTGGGAAAATTCTCTTTGCTATGTTTTCACACAGCAGGGTTGCTCTGTCATAACCAGAATTAACTGAAGGACAAAATTTGTAAGCAAAACTGATTTTTTCGATCTCACCAGACTCCAGAAACCTGAGATCCGATGTCAAAAAATGTGCAAACATCTCCGAGATTCGATCATGCAAGTTTCGATAATCCGAGTCACTTTGGTACCTCTCGACCGCCATTTTAGCCCTGCCAATGCGAGTATCTGAGCCTGTGATCTCTTCTCTGTTCTTCTCCTCAACCCCAGTTTCTTTCTTGTACGGATAACTCTGATAAAAGTCATCTTCGTCAGAATCAAGATATCCATAGTCATAATTGATTATTCCATTCTTCTTTGATTTTTCTTTTGCTTCTGCTTCCTTTATCGGGTCTTCCAAAACAAAATAGAGAAACCCCAATAAATCTTTGAACCAACCTTTACTCCCCAAAGCGATGACATTCAAAGACAGGGTTAAAGGGTGGTTTTTGTGCACCCACAACAAGGCTCTGTAGAATCCATCTGTGTCAAGCCTCTCCACCATTCGAAGAGCAAATATGAGCTTGAAAGTGGTGAGAGGGTCAAACTTCCATGCCTCTTCTTCATAATAAATCAGATCCCGCTGGACCCCCCCGAAGTACCAGTACTCGGGAGGGGTCTTTTTCCGGGTGTGATCAGCAGTGTATCGGCTGGCTTTGAAGAAAAATGTAATGCACGGGTTTGAGGTTGGGTGTGAAGAAGACTGCCCAGATTGGCCTCTACCCATTGAAGGGCCTGGTTCATAGGTTGTCTTAAGCGTAAGGTCGAAGATGTCCGGGAAGGGGTTAGGCCGGCGGAGAGCCGGTGGGCCCAGAAGAGAATCTAGAGAATCTTGAGAAGGAGGAGCCATAGTTGGGTATGGAGAGAGGGATGCAGGGTTTAGGGTTTTGAAAGAATTGGAGAATGCGGGGAAGATCTGTTGGGGCAGAGAGAGATATTAGATTTGTTTGTGGCTGATTTATAGGATGAAATTACTTGGGCATCAAGTCTTAGTGGAGGTGATAAAGTAACTGATCTTGGCCAAAGGTTGCTTTTTAAATTTATTTATTGAATTTTCAATTTTTCTTTTGCAAAATTAAATTTGTAGACCTTTGTCTAATCTCCGTCTGCGGAACCGAACCAGAGGAAGAGAGAGAGAGAGAGAGAGAGAGAGATTCGCGGAGTGGGCCAGATCTGGCCATGTGGCTGCGGAAGTGGCGGCGGAGATAGAACGAACGAGGAAAGGTACGGAGGGCGTGGAGAGAGAGTGACGGCTGAAGAAGAGAGAATAAAAATAAGTTAGGTTAGGGTTTTAACCGTAGCTAGTTATATATATATATTTTTTAAATTTCTTGAAAACTCCCTTTTATATATAATCTTTCCTACAACATGAGAACCCACCACCCATTTTTCTTCTGTGGAGAAGCTCAGGGCTCAAACAATCTAGGGCCGGCCTCTTGAGTTAGGCCTAGCTGGAGGCTTCTAGGTTGCTTCAATATAGCCAAAGAAAAGAGGAGATTTCATGTCATAGCCAATACACCTGCAAAGGAGGCAGGGTTTCCAATTCGGACAAGGATTTTGCCAGGTTAATTTTGACAAAGCCATTCATTGGTGAAGCCAAGGACTGAGTGGGCTTAATAATCTTGTAATTATGTGATTTTCAAAACAAATTTTCCATAAGTTGTGATTGAGTAAGATAATAGAATATTTTCAAAATCATATGTTGAACTCGGATTAAGTGTGGTTAGTCCCTTTATTCAGACTAGGATTAGAAAACAGAAAGCAAACCTAATCGAACTCGGGTGGAATCATAGCCTGCGTCCCTTTTGTTACTATGTCTTGGCTAAATGGCCTAACCTACATATGCAATTTATGCTTTAGTTGAACTATTTTGTTCCATAGTTGCACAGATGTAAACATTGATTGCTGGGAAGGTGACTTTCTTCAAATTTTGCGTCATAATAAGGGAAATTCTCTTCCATGTTGGTTTAGATTGAAAAGTTCAAATTATACAAAAAATTTCACGTCCTTGTTTTGCATGATAATAGGAGCGGGTAGAAGAGAAACTATAGAATAATACATTAGTATCGTCACGTTGTATAGTTTGTACACGTATTACAATATAGGTGGAGAACTTGGTTAACATTTTCCATTTTTAGGGAATAGTATCAATAAAGGAGGAGACACTCGCATCAATTATTTTTAAAAAAAACATTTTTGTCGTTGGCAATAGAAACGTACAATTTTCGAAAAGTTTTCTAAGGATCCAAAATCCACATGAATATTTGTTTTTCCCTCTTAGTAGAGGCCGATGATAAATTAGTACGTGTAGCAACTTGTGAAGCACTGGCTTTGATATTTAAAACTGGGTGTAGCAACTTGTGGAGCACTAGCTTTTATATTTGAAACTGGTAGTCCGGAGAAGTTATAGAGTGAAAAAAACATACGCATTGTAAAATATTTGAACATGCAACAATTGATAAGAGTTAACACGATTGCTGAGAGAGAAGTGAACTAAGTTGTAAAATATCTTGAGAATTCTCTCAATTGCTAATGGATTCTGTTCAATTATTTTGTTTTGGCTTCTAGGTTGCTTCAATATAGCCAAAGAAAAGAGGAGATTTCATGTCATAGCCAATACACCTGCAAAGGAGGCAGGGTTTCCAATTCGGACAAGGATTTTGCCAGGTTAATTTTGACAAAGCCATTCATTGGTGAAGCCAAGGACTGAGTGGGCTTAATAATCTTGTAATTATGTGATTTTCAAAACAAATTTTCCATAAGTTGTGATTGAGTAAGATAATAGAATATTTTCAAAATCATATGTTGAACTCGGATTAAGTGTGGTTAGTCCCTTTATTCAGACTAGGATTAGAAAACAGAAAGCAAACCTAATCGAACTCGGGTGGAATCATAGCCTGCGTCCCTTTTGTTACTATGTCTTGGCTAAATGGCCTAACCTACATATGCAATTTATGCTTTAGTTGAACTATTTTGTTCCATAGTTGCACAGATGTAAACATTGATTGCTGGGAAGGTGACTTTCTTCAAATTTTGCGTCGAAATTCTCTTCCATGTTGGTTTAGATTGAAAAGTTCAAATTATACAAAAAATTTCACGTCCTTGTTTTGCATGATAATAGGAGCGGGTAGAAGAGAAACTATAGAATAATACATTAGTATCGTCACGTTGTATAGTTTGTACACGTATTACAATATAGGTGGAGAACATGGTTAACATTTTCCATTTTTAGGGAATAGTATCAATAAAGGAGGAGACACTCGCATCAATTATTTTAAAAAAAACATTTTTGTCGTTGGCAATAGAAACGTACAATTTTCGAAAAGTTTTCTAAGGATCCAAAATCCACATGAATATTTGTTTTTCCCTCTTAGTAGAGGCCGATGATAAATTAGTACGTGTAGCAACTTGTGAAGCACTGGCTTTGATATTTAAAACTGGGTGTAGCAACTTGTGGAGCACTAGCTTTTATATTTGAAACTGGTAGTCCGGAGAAGTTATAGAGTGAAAAAAACATACGCATTGTAAAATATTTGAACATGCAACAATTGATAAGAGTGAACACGATTGCTGAGAGAGAAGTGAACTAAGTTGTAAAATATCTTGAGAATTCTCTCAATTGCTAATGGATTCTGTTCAATTATTTTGTTTTTTGTTTTTTGTTCTTTTGGCAAATATAAGAATCTCTTTTCTTAACGCGGAAAAGAAAAGACTAACAGAACTTAGACTCACGAAGTCACGCAAGCCCAAAGAAGTCCAAGTAAGAAGAGTTCACGAACGAGAGAGGAAGACTACAGACAAAGTTTTGATAGGGTCAAAGAGTTGAATATCAGTCCAAGAGGAGGATAACGATTTTGCACCAAACAAATATAAGAACCTTACATTCAAGTTGTATTGACTTTTTCAACCTCTAAAAGACCATACGTATCTAAGTTCACTACATTTTTTTCTACCAAAAACACGCTCTTTTAAATTCTGCTTTGCAAGGCTTTATCAGTTTTTTTAAGCAGTTCAGGGAAGATGTAAAATCTAGCTTACCTTTACCTGCTTTACAACTATTGTAGATTAAGTTACAAAACAAGGATTGAAACTATACACCAAGTATGCAAGACAAAACATAACAACGATTCGTTGCATCTAATCAGAAAGCATCACCATAATTTGGTGGTCAAGTTCCAAAACTTTTCCTGCAAATGAGCAACCCAAGCAGTAAATCATCTCAACAGAAACTATGTAGTCCTTTTATCAGTGTGACTATTTACAACTATAACTCTTCGGCAATACGGGCAGTCCCCTCGAATTCGAACCCAGGGACCCAAGCAGACAGCATGGAATCTATGCGCACAAGGCAAGTTTATCAGCTCATCTCCATCCATGAAGCTCTCCAGGCAGATACTACAATCTCGGGATGCTCTTACAACCAACCCATCGACATCCATTTCTGAGCTGCTGAAAAGCTCAGGGTTCAGACAATCAAGGACCTCTTGAGTGAGACCCGGAGGCTTCTTGTTCGCTTCTTGCAAGAGTTGCTGCCTGTCAACTTGGGAGCCCAAGTTAGTGGAAGGATAGGCACCGGTTGACCGACCAGTCAAAATTTCAGTACCCCAATCCCTTACATCAAAGGGACTTGATTCATCACCATGCACTAGCCCACTTCCGTAAACGTTCAATGCTCTACGATGCCTAAATAAAGCCAAACAGAACAAGGTAATTTCATCAGAGTCAATACTAAGAGGCAGGTTTTTTAAATTTAGGCCAGGATTTTGCTATCATCTCTACATGGGTGTTTAACCAGTTGATGGATACTGAGTTACACGCCAAACAATAGATCATAATGCTCGGCTTAGACAGGGGCTGACAATCGTCAATTGGTTAATTGGTGTGCATCGCACAACCAATTAACCTAAACCCAATTGGTAACTGGTGGAGAGTTCTCATAATTTTATATATTGAGATCATGCAATGCTCAGAATATCTAAGCATGGTAAAATTCCACAGCAAGAATCATTGTGAAGTCTAGTCTTAATCTCCAAATTAACTTAAGTGTTGCCAAATAAATGGGCAATAATTTGCAGCCAGCATCCAAATTTCAGCTCCTAAGTACATGTATAATCCAATAGAATTGCTAATATGCTATTGTAATTGCTAAACAAGAAACAAAGCTAGCTAATTTCCTCAAAAGAAGTACAATTTGGAGGCATTAACATGCAGAGCAGCAGAAACTGACCTGGTTTGTGAAGGAGGCATCCCTCTCAGCCTCTCAAGAAGCCTTTCCCTAGCGAGCAAAACAGACCCAGGAAGCCTCTCGTTCCCGCTCAACCCGGGACTGCTTGCACCGACACCATTTCCCGAACCCGAGTGGGCCCCACCTTGCTCAGCCCCAATTGCCGCTCGCTCCTGACCAACCAAACCCAAAAGCGCACAGATTTAAGAAATTACGAAATTCAATTGCAAAATTTGAAATTAAAAAAAGAAAGAAAATGGTTACCGGAAGGGAGGCGCGGTGGCGGAGATGGCGAGGGGTTCGGCGGAGGAGAGGATCACATCCGTCGGATTCATGATGGTTATTGTGATGGCGACGGTTGTGATTGTGGTTTCGATCGGGAAGAGGAGGAGGGAGAGAATCGAACCCTAGATCGTGGGTGGCGGTTCGGCTGTTGTAGCGAGACCTCCGGTTGTAGAAAAGCTCCGATGCGCTCGTCATGCACACACACCAATCAGCGTTTTTTACCTCACGATCCTAGAAACGCTTCTTGTTTCTGTCTGTGTTGATGGATTTACAGTGTTTTTTTGCAGAAACGGTTGGGGAAGAAGAAGGGACGGTACTCAAAACTGTCCACGCTAAAAACGCGGTAGATGAAGACTGAAGAGCTTTTTATAATAATGGTTTTTATTTATTGGTTGGAAATGACTTGTTTTTTGTGGCTTTTTTGATACTTTTTTTGTGATTTGGAAAGGATCGGATTGAGATGAGGAAGCGTGTCAGTGAGAAAAGGAATTTAGTGGATTTTAGGCGTTGGATTCAGAATTCAGATGATATTTATGAGAGCATTTTTGCTCATCACTTTAATAATAGGTGTACTCTCACCACTATTCTCAATACTTGACATGTGTTCATAGGTGTAATAATGATTCCATAAATACAAAGCAAAAGTTAACTATGGTTATATTTATCAGTCCAAGAGGAGGATAACCATTTTGCACCAAACAAATATAAGAACCTTACATCCAAGTTGTATTGACTTTTTCAACCTCTAAAAGACCATGCTTATCTAAGTTCACTACATTTTTTTCTACCAAAATCACGCTCTTTTAAATTCTGCTTTGCAAGGCTTTTATCAGTTTTTTTAAGCAGTTCAGGGAAGATGTAAAATCTAGCTTAACTTTACCTGCTTTACAACTATTGTAGATTAAGTTACAAAACAAGGATTGAAACTATACACCAAGTATGCAAGACAAAACATAACAACGATTCGTTGCATCTAATTATGGACACATGTCAAGCATTGAAGATGGTGGTGAGGGTACACCTATAATTAAAGTGGTGAGCAAAAATGCACCCGATATTTATTGCGTTTTTTTTATATTTTTGGTTAAAGATATTTATTGCGTTTAACCAGTATTTATTGGAGAGATTATCTTTGATGAGATGGATTGGATTGAATTGGACAGTGACTTGAAAATAGGCATCCAGCTTTTGCTTCTTATTTTTTTTGGAGGGGGGGTCTAAAGCTTTTGCTTTTTCTTGTTAAAATAAAAAGGAGAAAGTTTATGTTAGGCCCAAGGTCTTAAATATCGATAGTTTTGGAAATATCGGTGGAAATTAAAAGCCACAGAAATTGTGATAAATACATGGAAATTTTTAATGAAACTTTAGAAGAGGTTTATTTAGTCAATCATCTATTATTTTGACACAAAAAATTGGAAGGAAATGTATTGCATAGTGAGTTTGAGTGATTTAAGTTGATTATATTGCGAGCTGACAAACTCTGTGACTTAGAAAATCTGGAGTAATTAATGAAAGAGAATTAAACACCCCCTAATAATTTATTTATCATTTTTTAGTACAATATTTTACACTTTATAAATTACATGGTAAGATACATGAGTAACCTTATTTCACATTATTCACTAAACGTGGTACACGTTCTTATATTTATTATTTATCAAAAATTGAAAAATAATTAAAGATGTAAACCAACTTGATTTTTCATGAAAATTAGGCACTTTACCATGCTTAAAAAATAATAGTGAAGATTGAAAATTAACTAAGAACATAAATAAATTTATCCAAGGAAGAATTAAATAGTAAATAAAGAAAATAATTATAGAGATTTAAGTAATTAAGCAACAATTTGAAAGGGGAATTTAGTAATGTAAGTACTTATAATGAAAGAATTTAGCAATGTAAGTACTTATAATGAATAATAAAATAATCAATAACTCATGGCTGGAGATGGCCTAACCAACTTGTAAAAGAAAAACTTGCCTATACATGTTTCATTGATGTCGTGTGTCTTACACGGGTGTAGACAAGTTTTTCTCCCACAATATGACTTCAATTTTTTATTAAAACAAAATTACAGCTTCATACGTGGTCGTGAATATGGATTAAGATGTATGTTGCTAAAAGGATCATATTTTTAGATCATATTCGATGATTGTATAATAAAACAGTTGATTTATATACTTATTACATCAATTATTTAATTAGCGAACTGTTCGTGTTACTATATTGTAAACATGTTATCCAAATTTTGTAAATATGGCAAGAACTGGGGAATATTGTACTCGTGTACGTAGCCATGCATTGTACATACGTATTCAAAGAGTACAATTTATACAAGGGCTAGCTTAGTATATATTATATATATGATATTGTTCGTAAGGGCACCGATCTTATTTAAATAGTAAATCCGGCCACAATATATAATTAGGCCATATTGTTCACAATAAACCCTTTCTAATAATATTAGATACTTTAGTTTTATAGATATAGTGATGATTGAATATTTTTTCTCAAATGATCTCACATATGCATGTACTGATAGTAATGATCCGGAGCAGTGTCCGGGTCCGGTTTCTCGAGTACTCCGTCGACGTTCCGGAGCCAGAAAGTTGGGTTGACAGAAGCAGCTTCCTTGGGGACATCATCCATCACCCCTTCATGCCCTTGGGGAACATATATTCCTGTTCTTGGATGTGGAACCCAGTTGCACCTCCATGATGGGCTGCCACTACTAGTCTCCTCACTGTCACTCTCGTTTCCGCCTGAAATTTTCTCTGCAGCTCCCTTCATCTTGCTGAATTGACGTTGATGATCCACTCTCTTAGCTTCCCTGCAGTATGAACTGCGCACATATGCATATCATTATGCCCCCAAAACTAAACCAGAAGTACCATCTTAACTGACAAAAGCCGCGAGGGCATCCTCCTCCAGAAATCAAATTAGATTTGAAAACACTCACATAAATTATAGTTTCATTTCCCTATATATTTGAATGCGCATGTATAAAAACATTACCTAACCAGAAATATCTTTGACTTTGCGACCCCGCTGCCTCTTGTCATGTCCCTCAGCAATCACCTAGCTATTATCACAAATTTTTATACGCAAAGGCTTATGAAAAGCAATGTTGTGAAGTTTGAAAAGCCTGTATATGCATGCGATATATATATATATATATATATAAAAGAGACGGAGGAATATGTTCTATATGGTGAAGGGCGTTCAAAGAAGAGAGAATAAAAAAATGGTGTTGATTTGGTGGTCTTCGTTTAAGTACAATTGGAATATATTGATCTTAAAACATGCGTGACCGTACAGATATTTGTTCTGCAGATGTGACATCTGGTTGCTGCCCAAGTACTGCACGTGGCAGTTCCTCTTTGGTGGATTATGAATAACCCTAGCTTTGTTTGGAATTTAATCTAGGTGACGCACGATTAGGAACATCTTTGTGAAGTTGAACGCGATGGCCCAAATCTTCACAATATCAATGACCATGACCAACTTACTAGTCACACTCAAGTCATATCACTATCTTTTTTCTATAACTGTCGTTTATGATCTATGTTAAACTTATCTTTCAATAACTGTCGTTTATGATTTATGTCATTAGCTACTGCTTAATTAAGATAGAATAACTTTATTAATTATAAAGGGCATTAAGCTTATTCTAGGAAAGTGTCATGAACAAGTGTTTTAAATGTGTCATATGGTAACCTTGCATGCTCAAAGATACGTCGTACGTATTACATATATACACCAAACCAAACCAATTATGATTTTTTTATTCATACTTGAACAAATTAACCAAAAATCAATCAATTCTTAACCACCTATTTCCACTTTCCATCCTGGAGAATAAATCATGAGGAATCATATTGCAATCAAAATTTCTGTTTTGGGTAAAAGATTGAATTGAATACACTAACTTTTGTTTTTATAGAAATTAATATACTAACATTTTTGCTTTCGCACATGATCTCTAAAGAGGAACCTTCCCACATAAGTCAAGTTTTTAAAAAATCATAGTCGCTTCTCTCCCAAAAAACACTCTATAACCATTTTCACTTTGAGGGGGAGGAAGTCACTGTTCTTCCTCCCCTCTCCCCTTCTCTCTTCCTACCTTCTCCTTTTTTTCCCCAATTTTTAGAGACATAAGGTTTCCCCTATTTATCTTCATTTTTTAATAATTTTCCTCCACTCAATACGTCTTGGCCTCAAATCTCCACCTGCGTTTCTATGTCGGATCTCTATCACAATCAATTTTGCGGTTTCTTTATGTTTGGAATAAGTTGCAGAGACTCTTTGGCTTTTTTGTATAGTTTTCATCTCTCCTTTTGTGATAGTTTTTCATATCTTCTTTGTGAGAGCTTTCCACATCTCATTTGTGATAGTTTTATTTGTATTGTTATGTCTTGATTTTTTTCAAGCTTTATCTATTTTTGGTTATTTGCACTCTTAGTTGGGATGACTATGCTAGAGTTTCTTCGATCATGCATGATCATTAGTGGTAGAGCCCCAGATTGTCTTAATTTTGATGTTAGATCGCTTCATTATTGTAATGACCCTTTTGTGACTAGGAGTTTTTCATCTCTTCTTTGTGAGAGCTTTCCACATCTCATTTGTGATAGTTTTATTTGTATTGTTATGTCTTGGTTTTTTTCAAGCTTTATCTATTTTTGGTTATTTGCACTCTTAGTTGGGATGACTATGCTAGAGTTTCTTCGATCATGCATGATCATTAGTGGTAGAGCCCCAGATTGTCTTAATTTTGATGTTAGATCGCTTCATTATTGTAATGACCCTTTTGTGACTAGTTTGTTGCTCTTCGTAGCTAGTGACTATCTTTGCCTGAATTATAAATGCAATTTCAGAATTTTAAAAAGAAAAAGAAAAAAGAGGAACCTTCCCCTTTAGCCAAGCCAATTTCATTTTTTTTTTAATGAAGGCCAAGCCTTGCCTTTGAGTACTTGTCCTTGACACATAAGTTCACACGACATTACATTGGCTAAGAAAGGTAAACAAACAAATATAATACTTTTTAATTAGGGCTAGTTTGACATTTTTTTTTTAATGAAGGCCAAGCCTTGCCTTTGAGTACTTGTCCTTCACACATAAGTTCACACGACATTACATTGGCTAAGAAAGGTAAACAAACAAATATAATACTTTTTAATTAGGGCTAGTTTGACATTGCTATGCTATGAAAATAATCGCTGTCAAATTAACTGTGAGAGAAAGCAGTTTAGCGTTTGGTAAACTTTTTGTTAAAAGTGTTGTTGGTACTGATTTCCGCATAATCAGAAAATGACTCCCTCATAATCATTAACCCTAGCGCCTCTTCGAAACTGATTCCCGCATAATCAGAAAATGAAAGCACTTCATTAGCTGCTTTTAATGCTATGAAAATAATCGCTGTCAGATTAACTGTGAGAGAAAGCAGTTTAGCGTTTGGTAAACTTTTTGTTAAAAGTGTTCTCGCAAAATTTTTTAACAATAAGTGATTTTCTCATAGTTTACCAAACGGGATAGGCTTCCTAAATTTTTTAAAAATCACTTATCGCCCCAAATAAGAAATGTCAAACGGGCACTTAATCTTACAAATATAGAAATATAAAAAGACCACAAGAGTGTAAAAATAATTGTTATTGACCACTTAAGTTATAAGTATCTGTGAGTGCAATATAACTTAGTTCTTTGAGTTCTTTCACCTCCACCTATGTGGGCAGGGATTTGAAACCCCAATGCACCTAATAAATATTTGTGTAAACAGTAAACCCCCACCCCAACCCTATAAGTACCATGCATCCTTAGTTCTAGGTTCGATTCTCCTACCACCAATATCACTTTGTACAAAAAAAAAAAAACCCCTTCCTTTAATCGTTTGTACTAAAAATTAAAAAAAAAGAAGTTAAAAATCCCTTATTTGATTTTTGTTTTTGTTTTTTTATGAAAAGTTATAAGACCCTTATAATTTTAATTTTTTTTTAATATTAAAAACAAAATTGGTCATTTTCCTAGACTTTACAGAAACTACAAACTATATAAGACATTTTTATTTTTTTGGTCTGAACTATATTTGACACCAATAAAAAAGAAAAAAAAATTATATAAAACAAAAGAAGACTGCAGAGTGAAGACAAGGGCATCCGGCGCCCAAACAATAAAGAAGAAGACCAAAGAGCGCATGCTCGTAGAGTCGTAGCTCACAAATGAACTGAAAGAAAGCAAAAAAAAGAAAGACAAATTAAAAAATTCGCAATGAAAGTGAAAGCAAAGAGCCCCAAAGCGAAATTTGGGCTACCCACAGTCTTCCTCCTCTGTTCCCTCTTCTTCTTCGCTGGCTTGTTCACCTTCACCCTCCTCTCTCATGTCTCCTTCCCTCAATTTCTCTCCGGTCCACGCTCGGTCACCAGAACGCTTCAATCGGAAGATGGCGAAGATCACGGTCCACTGCCACAAGGCGAGACCGGAGACAGCTTTATTCAATCGATTCCATTCCAGGTTTGTGTTTAATCTGATCAGTAATCGCATTGTTTGGAATTTGCCTTGCTAATTCGGTCAATTGGGTTTTGGGTTTGTTTGACATTGTTGAATCCCACAGGTTTTGAGTTGGAAACCTCGGGCTCTTTATTTTCCGAGATTTGCAACTGCGGAGCAATGCGAAAGCGTGATTGAAATGGCGAAGACTAAGCTCAGGCCGTCGGCATTGGCTTTGCGAAAGGGAGAGACTGCTGAGAGCACAAAGGGGACTAGAACAAGGTATCTTTGTCCTCCATTTTTAATGCTTCTCATCATCTCCACATGGAGAGCATTTGAATATGGATATGAGTGGAGAAAGATGGGCCATAATAATGTGTTGTGTCAATCAGAAATGTTTAACGTAATGTTATGCAATTATGCCTAGCGTGCTATGGGGAGAGTAGAGTGTTTGATATTTATGAGAGTAGAAAGAAAGGGACCCATGGTGTTTCATTTGGAAATAAAGTGGCACAAACTAATTCCAGCTGTTGGGAAAAGTTAATATTTTGTTAATCATAACATTCTAGGGAAGGATAACTTCTTATTTATGTGTTTCTTTCTCCATTGCGGCACAAGCACTTGGGTTCACTCATCAAGTTTCTTCAAAATTTGTTTTAAATCAGTGATTTGCCATAATAAGTGGATCGGTCCCATTACTTTATAGATACATTGATGTAGGGGCAATGGATAAAATGCCTGCATTGTTCGTCTTCTTTCATATTTGTCATCCTGAAGTTTTTAAAACATAGTTGACTCCTGACCTAGATTATGTACAAGAAAAAATGACATCATAAGTTGGGATATGTGAGTACCGGGGGGATGATATCAGGGTTTGTCAGTTTGATGCGGGTGCATTGACTAGCAATTCCTTGCTCCACGCATAAAATTATTTTTGTATTTAATAAGTTGAGACTGTCTGTTATTCTGACCTTACCATGCTCAGGATATGTTCTCTTATGCAACTTGCAAAATGAACTACAATATCAGCAGAGTTCGTATTTCGTGTTTCCTCAAACTGCCATTAGAAACTTCTAGAATAGCTCATGCACTGTAGTTTGTTGACATGTATTGTATAGTTTGCAAGTAAATGGGAATTTAATGCTGGATATTTTTTCACTTCTTATTTATCTTTTTCTATTATTAAAGGGCCTGCATATTTGGGAAATTTGTGAAATGAGTAGTTTAAATGTTTCAAGAAACCCATTCATAAGAATTCTTTTGGCAGGGAAGTTTTGGAAGATAATTTATAAAAGAGCCTTGTAATATCCCTTTCTGTATCATAAAACTTGTCATCTCTGCTTTCATCAAGTTATATGTGGTATGCTGCTTTGGAATGTATCTTATAACTCACAATTAATCACCTTTGGTTGGTCTCTGTGCTCACGATCAATGTTAAACATGCTGGTTTGAAGGTGTTTTACATAGAATGTTTTGCTGCTTGTGACATTAACTGTTAGTCTATACTTTATTATAGTTCAGGCACATTTATTAGTGCATCTGAAGATGAAACCGGAATCCTGGAGATTATTGAGGAAAAGATTGCCAGGGCTACAATGCTACCAAGGACCCATGGAGAGGTATTTTTATCATTGTATATTATTCAGGGGCAGGCTTAAGTGTGAGGGGGAATTCAAAAGCAGTTAAGCAGATGTTTTTCATTGTTCATATAGGTCTGAATGCTACTATTAGTTTTTCTGATAAAAAAACTGTTTCTTTCTTTTTCCTGGTAAACAGAAAATAGTGTATCCAATACTGTTACTACTTTCACAACAATTTTAAAATGTTAACCTTTCATTACAGTTAAATTCTAAATTAATCTGAGTAATGCTAAGATATCATCATATTGCAGGCATTCAATGTTTTGCGGTATGAGATTGGCCAGAAGTATGATTCTCATTATGATGCATTCAACCCATCGGAATATGGTCAACAGAAAAGCCAAAGAGTATATACTTAACTAGCTTCTGCATAATGTGCTGTCATTTTCTGCTCTGTTTTTATTTCGGAATTCCTTCCTGCCAAATAGAAGATCCCTGATACTTGATGGGATGGTTTGCGTATTTATGCACCTAACACCAGCCAAATAAATAAATAAATGAACACATAAAAAAGAACTACGGTATTTCTTATAATTTTTGTGTAATGGTCAGCATCTCTATTATGTATTGCTGATAAGCAATACTTATGGAATTACTTGAATATTAGATCATAATCATAACCCTTTTCTAAAAAAATAAATTTGCAACAATGGTTGACCATTTTGCTTCCAAAAAAATCAGTTGTGCTTTCCAACTTATGATTTTTCCTTTTTCATCTTCTATAATGTATATTTTAAATTGAGTATTGAGCAAAAAAAAAGAAAGAATCAATATTGGTGATGCAGCAGTTATTAATGATATATTTCAAATGGTAGTTTCATTAGTCCCTTTTTCTGTTTATGTCATTTGAGTACATATGTTGCTTAAAAAATATTGGGTTGAGGACCTTGAAGCTGACATCAAAAGATTGTTAGTCTTTAATTTTTCAGAACAATTTATCATCATCGAGCTGTAATTGATTTCTGTAACTTAGAAGGATGACTGCAGTTTTAGTTGTCCTGATTTCTTCAGCTTTTTAAAAAGAAAAGATTAAATAAAACTTGTAGCATAATCCCATTATTCTAATCACCATTTTTGTATTCTAACATTCCATGGTTCTATTTTATATGAGCCTTGCCTATAAATTCTTTGCCCATTATACTTACTGAACTAGTTAATAGTTATAGATCCTTTTCTCATACCCTTTACATTCAGCCTAAAATTATATTTGAAACTAATTTATAATTATAGGTATGCAGAAGTTGCAAATTGCTTTTTGAATTCATGATTTCACCTTTCTGTAAATGATTTATCGTTGTTGCTTCTTTCCTTAACCATTGATACCTAACTGTCAAAACTTTACACTCAATGTTGCAGTTTGCTTCCTTCTTGTTGTATCTATCTGATGTAGAAGAAGGTGGAGAAACCATGTTCCCTTTTGAGGTAGGTTAGAAAATTGATAGTTTATCTTACTATTACTTTGAAATATTTGCATGCACTCATCCTAATTTTTTTTATTAGTAGAATGGCTTACATATGGGTATGAGCTATGATTACAAGAAATGCATTGGTTTAAAGGTTATGCCCAGGCAAGGGGATGGACTTTTATTTTATTCAGTGCTTCCAAATGGCACAATTGATCAGGTAGTTTACTTTATCATATCTTAAATCACATCTAATTCTTATAAATTGCTTTTCTTGTTGTTATGAACAATGTGAAGTTGGACAACTTGTTTCTATTTCCTTTGGCATCAAATTAATTTATTTGAATCACATCAAAGTATTTATATATAAAGGATCAGCAACTAATTAGTTTATTTGAAACTTGGAATTGTCATTTCGGTTCTCTTCCTCTGTCACTTCTTAATGGTGATTAAATAAAAAGTCTCTTGTGGCGCAATTTGCAGACATCTCTTCATGGAAGCTGCCCGGTGATCAAAGGGGAAAAATGGGTTGCAACAAAGTGGATTAGAAATCAAGAAGATCTGGAGTAAGAGTTGTTTTATTCCAAATGTTGTTCTTTCTGGAGCTGGTGGTTCCGGAACAGTGGAACAAAACAGATCACTGGTTTTACAACTGCAGCCTAGTCAACGTCGAACAGTGGTACTGGAGTTTCTGTTCCTTTCATGTTTCAAGTATAGAACTGAGTGAACTATGTTCTTGCAGTAGGCGGCGAAACAATCACTCTTGGATGTACAGCCCAAAGATGGGGTGCTAAACTTCTTTTGTTTTGGGTCGATAACCATGCCACTCGTTATAGAAGAATTCTTTTGTGTAGCTTTGCAGCTAAATAATGAAAGAACCTTATATGTAAAATGGTATTTTGATTCGATAATTCTTCCTTCAAAATCGAAATTTTGAGTTGTCGACATTTTGTGTATTAAGAATTCTCCATGCATAATTGTCATCATCCACAACTCTCTTGGACTACCAAAATAAAAATTCAAAAAGGTCAGGATATGAAATATGGTACAATTAAGTATTGAGTCCACTTCTATTCAGGGATTCTATCAAATAAACTTAATTAAGGATATTTTATGGAATTCGATTGTATTTGAGGGATCTCTTAATTGAGATAGAATATAGTTGTCATTTTGTCAACGAGCCTTAACTCAAGTGGAGTCGGAGAGCAGAGATCTTAAGTTCAAATTTCATGTCATTAAAAAATAAAAGAAAAAAGAAAAATAGAGTGAGTTGCCACATAAGCAAAGGTGTGATTCTCTCGTATCCTCCCCATCCAAAAACACACCACAATGACAGAATAAGGTAACTTCATTTTAAAAGGACCGTTGGAGCCAAAAGACACGCCCTTTAGACTGTAACGGCTACTTACCATTTGAAAAAAACAATAAACCCTCTTTGGATACCAGCCAAAAATCTTCACATTCTTCTGATTACCAAATCCCAAAAGAACAAAAATCTTCGCATTCCTCCCTCAGATCTCACAATTCCTTTCGAACTCTTCATCATTGATCATTCTCTTCTGCGATTCTTGATCCCCGTTTTCGTCTCAGAGATTAGCCATGGACCTCGGCTGCTTGGACTTGGGTTGCATCTCCGTGTCAGACAAGCGAGGCACTAACGACGCCGTTCTTGATTCCAACAACAAGGAAAACGACGCCGTCGACACGACCACCGTGAGCCCCAAGATCGGAAACGTAAGTATTTTGACCTTTCGTTCTTCAGATTCAAGACTGCTATTTTTCCATCAGTGCCTTAGATTTGTTCCGTTTTCTTGAATCGGATTCTCTGTTTGTGTTTGGATCCTGATTTGTTTAGGCTTTAGTGGATTTGAAACCCTAGGACCTTGAATAAATGAGGATTATTGATTGGCTTTGATTTGGTACTTAATTGCTGGTTGTTAATCATTTGGAACCCTAAAACCTTTGTTATTTTTTTCTTTACTGTTGGGATTTATGCCGATTGAAATTCCAATAGCCCCATAAACTAAATGATTAGTTAAATTTTTCTTAAGTCCTCTACTTGGTGTTCTGTTTTAGCTTCACTTTTGTGTTGATATTTTGATAGAAGCGGATTCGAAATGCCTTACTTCCACTGCTTAAATTCAGTTGGCTTTTGCTTGATAAGATATCTTTGTCATTACAAGAATACCATGGATGTTGGAAAGAAGGCAATTTTAATATGAATTTATTTGTTAATTTAACCTGACATTTCAGTGTTGACCTTTCTGGTTGGTTTTTGTGTTCTATATTTGCAGGAAATGCTGTGATATAGACCAAATTAATTTCTGTCAAGTCCTGTATTGTTTTGTTTGACATCCCCATTTTCTTTTCTGAATAGTGCAGAATAAAAATTTGAAAGAGACTAGCCTATCAACGTTGAATTCTCTTAACAAATCACAAATAAAGAAGCCTTCTCATCGTAGGACCTCTCCTCTGAACTGGTTCCCGCGAAAAAAAGGGGACTCCTATTTGAAGAGGAAGATCAAAATGCTGCAGGTTTTGCATCTTTCTCTAATAAACACTTGTTATTTATGCTCTAATGTTTTTTTGATTAATTTCCATGTTAACCAAAATACTAATTTGTTGGCTTTTATCAGGAAGTAGATGGCATGAATTTAACTCTTGATGAGACTTTAGGGGATTCTAATCCGCATTACTCAAAAGTCCTAAGGGAAAAAATGGCAGCAAAAGAAGCTGCACAAAAGGCAATGGAGGCACGAAAAGCTGCACTGGTGGAAGCATCTTGGTGTCGCATTCTTAGGGCATCCAGGTAATTGTTTGAACTTGGATGCTTAATCATGATTAAGCAGTTTAAAGGCTAATTTCTTAGTTACAATGTTCTTTTAATCTTTATTTCAGGATTCAAAGCAAAGAAGCAGAAGCACAGTTGTTGAAAGCAGACAAGGCTGCAGCCGAAGCTTTTGAAGAGGCAACAGCTGTGGGAGTTATCATGTTTGACAAACCAAATTGCCCTCGGAAGCCATGTAAAATAGAAACATCCACTGTTAATGGAGGAGGGTCTACTACTCACACAGTCACAGCATCTTTTGAGACTGCATTTGACGTTGATAAAGAAGTAGCTGCAGCTGTTAAAATTGCATTAGTAAGGCTTGGAAATTCTCCTTCTTTTAGTAAAGATGAATTCAAAGATCTGCTCCGAAAAATTAGTGAGAATCCTGATACAAGTGAAAATAATCAGGAATCGTCTGAGTTTACTTCAGAATGTGAATCAGAATCTGGATCAGAACTTGAAGTAGTATCCCAGAAAGATTCTATCATTTCCCAAGATTTAGATCATAAGATGCCAGGTTTTGAGGAAAGACAGAGTAAAAACAGAAGGCAGTCATTTGGTAAGCTTAATATGGCAAAGATAGCAGACATGATGCTTGAGAGGCTTCAATGTTTGCAAGAAGATGAACTCTCCTCTCTTGCCACTATAGTTGCTACTTGTGGTTTAAATGCTGCCTTAATGGAAGTTGAAAATAGCAAGCTTCATGATCAAGGCTCTGCTGCTGAGACCCTTCCACAAAGATTTGGAGCGGCAAAGCCTGAATACTTCAGAGATGGGCAGGTGAGAAGGAAGCAAACTATATCAGAACTCCCAAGTCTTGACAAGTTTTTAGTTAAGCACATGACCAAACTTGAGAAAGAAGTACAAGAAGCCAAGAATAGAAGGAATAAGTTGACGGAAAAAACTGCAACTGTTGATGAGAAGGCCAATTTAGATAACATTGGAAATACCTCTGAAACCATTCCAGGCTTGGGAAGCATTCTTCTGAAGCATGGTTCAAAGTTCGAAAAAGAGATTGAAGAGGCAAAGAAAAATTCAGGTGGAGATTTTGAAATGTTTCAAAAGAGTTCACTGAGAAACAAAATATCTTCTGATGCCATTCCTGACTTGGAAAGTATGCTAGTTAAACATTCTTCAAAACTTGAAAAGGAAGTTGAAGAGGCCAAGACAAAATTTGCGAAAACATCTGCTACAAGTGACCAAAAATCGGTAGTGGGCAGTCGCAAAAAAGAACATGTCTCAGAACTCCCCAGCCTAGACAAGTTCTTAGTGAAACATGTCTCAAGACTTGAGAGGGAAGTCCAAGAAGCAAAGAACAGAAGGAAGACTGATGTACATGAAGGAGTTAGGTTTCCTTATCTGAAGAAGAAAGTTGATTCATTTGCTTCAGTTGCACAACAAAAGAAAATGGCTATTTCTTCTTCTGAGGAAGGATCAGAGGGGAAAGAAAATTTAGACTTAAATAAGGATGTTGACGAGAATTCTAGGATGGAGCAAAATGAAGTTGGGTCTTCACTGCAGAATCCTAGTGCAGAGGAAATAAACTCACTTCAGAATATGAAGGCTGAAACTAAAGAGACTGAAGATGGTTTAGACAAGATTATGGTCAAACCAGTCCACTGGTTGGAAAGGGAGAAAATCCAAGCCTTGGCAATGGGAAACAATTACGAATATCATACGCTCAAAAAGAAAAAGGGAGAAAGCAGTGTTACACAATGTGAGAGCTTGGACAAAGTTTTGGTAAAACATGTTTCCAGACTGGAGAAAGAGAAGATGAAGCAACAGTCAGAGAACGGAGCAACTGAAGTAAAAAGAAGTAATACAAAACTGCCTTCACAATCGGAAGAAGCATGTGGTTTGGACCAAATTCTGGTTAAACATAAATCAAGGCTTGAAAGAGAAAAGGTGGCTGCTGCTCAGCAACCAGAAGAACAAACCAGATTCTCTGTAACTCGTAAAGAAGCAAGGGACAGAGAACTACAAGAACAATGGGGAGGTTTAAGCTTAGGAAACTCCATGAAGCCACATGTCTCGAAACTTCAACGAGATAAGGTAAATGCTCTTTTTCTTGTGCTTAATGTATTTTTTGCAATGCTTTGTTGAAATTCTGATTATTTGTTGGTTCCTCCTTTGTCTAATGGGTTTGTTGGTATTTCCATTTTGTGTAGGCCGCTTGGGTTAAAGCTGAACAGGAGGAGAAGAGGCAAGGTACTGGTTTCTCAGATTGAAGCCGAAGATTAGAAAAGGAATGGAAGATATGGACAGAAGGAACATGTGAACTTTTGTGAAGAAAACGTTCTCATCATTTTCTATTCAGTGATCAATGCGATCAATGCGTTTTTTTCCTATGTTTTGTACTATATTGCATTGTAACAGGAGATTTATAATTGTCTATAAATATAATCAATTCAATTTGGTTAGTTCTTTGACTACGGTAGAATGGAGTGGTTTCCCAAATCTAAGTTTGGATTTTATTTTAAATTTTGCGTTGCCTCATGCCAGTGGGAAGTAGGAATGTAAGTTCAACAGGGGACATCAATAAGAACCCCATCAGACAACGAATCGACCATGATCAAGTTTTGACAGAAATTTTTTTTACTGCCAAAGCAATTATAAAAGCCCCTTGATCTTTAGAGGGGGCAACGAAACAGCACTGGAAACAAAACCACTTTGATCTTTTAGGTTCATATTGTAAATTACGTAGCCGATTTGGATGTAACAGATCATAATTTTTACAAGAGACCATTGAAGCAAAATCATTATGGATCCAAATGATCTACCAACAAATGGAATGATACAATTTTATTGCTCAAGTAACTACACCCTCTCAAGCTCAGTGTTGTGCTTGTCCAATTGGTCTTTCAGATCCTTCTTCCACCCTTGGATCAACCTTTCATGCTTCTTGATAAGCTCAGTCTTTATCCTCAACTCCTCTGCCATCGCATCAATCTCCTGGAAAAATGAAAACACGCAACATTAAGAAAACAAAGGCTTAATAAGCTAAGGACAAGCTGAACAACATGGTCTTCAGATAACCTTTCTAAGTTGTTCGGCCTTGGTTGGCTGATCCTCACGTTGTAGACCAATAAAATATAATTGAAGCTTTTTGGCAGCTTCCATAAAATCTCTGGCATGCCTCTCTACATCAACTGAAGCAATGACAAAATAAACACCATCAGAAGAAGTAAAGATAAATGCATTCTTGGTGCATTGTTGTTCGTTGTGCACTTCAGGATCAAAGAAGACTTGGCAACTTCGTTCACTACTTTACAAAGACTGACAGTTATAAGGTTTGATGTTATGATTGATAAACAAAGTTTCCTAACGCAACCTCAACCTCAAAGGCCAAGTCAACCAAGGTTACAAAGGTAAAACAAAAGATCCATGAATCTTTTGTAGCCACTACAAGAATGATATTTTTCAGGTGGGTACACAAGATTTACCCAAAAACATAACCAAGAGTTCCAAAACAATCCTAACACTTGTAAGTAGAATTTTCATATGAAATGGAAAAATTCATAGAGAGCAAGACTTTACGTCCCCATTTATGCATCCAGAATCCAAACTTTTGGTCAAAATGGATTTTCTTACCCCCGCATGAATATGTTATGTAATCTACAATTTCCTTCTTTTCCAGCCACTATTTAGAACTAAAGGCTAACACTTGGTTATTTGAGATTTGATTTGAAACAAACAACAACTCTCTTGCTGTTCAAATCTCCCAACTCTCTTGCTGTTCAAATCTCCCAACTCTCTGTTGAAATATAACTCTTTTGCCAAAGCTGAAGCAAGAACTCCCAAACTGAGTGTGTTTAACCAATTTAATATATTCCTTACTCTTTCCTTTAGGCTTTGGCCAGAGACAGGTACACAGAATGTTTTCTATTGTGGACCCAAGAAACCCTATTGCAATTTTTTTATGGGTAACATAGCTCTGTCACGAGGTTCACCCTCTCAAAGTTTATCAACAAAAAAGTGAAACTACAAAGTTTCAGTTAAAACAAATGCGTACACATCCAAAAAGTTGTAGTTTTATCATCAAAACTTAGAAACCCTAGCCTCAGTCTCAGGATAAGTGGTTAATATGTGGGTGACCAAGCATCTGTATCAAAGAGGATTCACATACATACAAGCAAGCATACACTGAAAGGCATGTAAAGCTATTGGTACTAACTCTGATGAGAAGGGTGGGGAGACCGGTCAATTGCTTGAAGCTCTCTGGCAGGCAAGCATGGAAGCAAAGCAGCCTCCAGTGCTATCACACAGGCAACCATGTCTTCCCTTGGAGGCTGTGGGGATTGCATCTGGGCATCAATTTGATGCTGCTGCTGATCTGCCGCTTGTCTCTCAGCCATGTGAAAGATAACCAACACCTGCAAAATACCCAAAAACCAAAATAGATAGGAAATGAAATTGAAGTATGAATTCGATTATCCAAATGGGCAGATAAGAAACCCAGAAGAAGAAGAAGAAGAAAATGTAAAATTTACAGATGATGTGGTGGAAAATTAAGTATTTAAGTATCTGGGTATAACCAAACCATCATGAAATTTTCAATCTAAGATTCAACAGCTCTTAGTATCTAAATAATATCTAAAAGTGCGAGGCTTTTGCTAATCTATTAATCATACAACTAAGGAAGAGTGAATTGAATCCATAAAAATTAACTAAAAAAAGCTTAGGAAATATCCAAATGCGTATTCTCTCTTTCAATTTCAGACAAATTATACAAATCTCGTGTTACCTTAGCCTTGGGTGAGACTGAAATCAAAGCTTGATATGACGAAACAATCTCATTCAGTGTAGAAAGTTCAGCCTTCCTCGTTCTCTCGTGCTCTCTCTCTTTCAGTGTTGAGTATCCTTTCTTTCCCTCTTCTCCGTTTTTCTCTTTTGCTGAGAATTTCCCTCTTCCACTTGAACCTCCCTTTAAACATTAAAAATTACAAAATACAAAATACAAAATACAAAAAATATAGAGTGATGCTAAACGAACCCTAAAATTAACTGAGTACACCCTATGATCTAAGTATACCCTAATATTTAAATCAAAATGTAAAATTAACTAAGTACACCCTATTTAATTACCAAAAATACCCCGGATACACCCTAATCCACTCTATTACATAGCAGCAAACCCATTCGAATCTGGTAACAACATTCATCAAGGTTAAGTGGCATACTAAATTATTCGGATATCATGGCTGAGCTTTGATTCAAAGGCAGTAGAAAGCCCCCTGTTTTCTCTGTGATTTATTATTCGCCATTGCCATGTGGTTCTTTTATTGAATAAATGATGTTTACCAGGTTCGAGTTTGAATTCTCTCTACATCACTTTCCCTTATTCGAGTTTGAATGAATTAGCACATGTACCTTGCTCAACCACATAATGGAATAGGGTTTCTATCTATTTTTCCCAGTTAAGCAGATTCTTCAACTCAAATCCCAAAAGTTTCAATCTTTATTTTCTTAGTTTTCACCCAAATTGAATTTGGTTTTTTCTTCAATTTTTTAGAATTTCAATACACAATTACCGAATTCCAGTTTCAATTCCAAGTAAGCACGTATGAACTCGCTTGGTATTTGGAGGTTTTTTAATCTTTTTATTGTCAATAAAAGGAAATAACATAGTTTTTGGAGTAGGGTTTTTCGTTTATGTTTGAGTAGAGTTGAATATGGTGAGTAGGGTGTATCCGGGGTATTAACCAATTTAATAACCAATATATTTTGAGTGGTGCTAAATGAACCCTAAAAATAACTGAGTACACCCTACTATCAAACTATTTATTAAATTGATATTTTTATAACCAGTTTAGTTTTTTATTAACCTTTATAAAAAAAGATTTACCAACTTTTAACGATAAATAGAGGAATTGATTAACAGGTAAAACACAAGAACTAAATTTTCCATTAACTAAACTGAAAATAAATTGACTATTAAATTGGAGAGTCCCAATAAAGTTAGGAAGATCAATGTTAATATTACTTGATATGAAATGACAAAAGTTGTTAAATTTATTGGATTATGTTAATCAGCCTCCACTCACACACACATTCAACTCAATCTTTGCTATATCAGAGGTTGTCTTGAGTTCAAAATTTTGTATTTTTTTTAATAAGGACGATATCATAAATTATTCTAATGTAGAGGATGGGGATTCAAACTTGAGTATAAGGAAATAGACATTGGCCAATTGAATTAACCCACATTTGTTTGAGTACAAATTTTAAACACGATGATTTTTAATGAATAACATGAAGAAGAAAATAAGAAATACCCACATATATGATAGAGAGCATTTTTGCTTACCACTTTAACACAAGTGTATCATCCTCATCCTTCTCAATACTTGGTATATGTCCATATGTATAGCCATTGTTCAATAAATACAAAGTAAAAAGTTGATCATGGTTATGCCTATGAACACTTATCAAATATTAAGAAGGATAGTGATGATTCAACTTAGGTTAAAGTAGTGAGTAAAAATATTTCCTATATGATATGACATGGTATTGTAGACACATATTTTGAGGTGGTAGGCACATCAAAAAACACATCATCTCTTATTTGAGAAAAACTTAGTTGCAACAAAAAAAAATTTATTTTACTATTTCTGATCAATAATTATATGCCATATGAAAGTGTTATCACACATGTCATAACATTATAGACCAAAAATTGCTACCCTATTTTATGGAATTCTTTCTCCTCTTGTTTGCCACTTGCCTGGTGAACCGACTGACATAAATCCTCCTACTCTCCCAACCTCCAACTAAGTCCAATTTATTTCCAGCTAAAAAACAAAAAACCTAAAGTCCAATTTTTTTGTCTCTATTGCCTTCTTGCCACCATTTAAACACAACCCTCCTCCTCCTTCCTCCTCCTCTCATCTCCTCTTCTTTCTCTTCCACATTCCCAAATAAAAAGAGCACCCTACCCAAAACTCAAAGCAACGTTTCTGGTGCTTTTTCTGCAGTCTGGTTTTCCATATCAGAGCCATGGGAGGAGGCAACGGGCAGAAGGCCAAGACGGCACGCGAAAGGAACATGGAGAAGCAAAAAGCCGCCAAGGGTAATTCTTTCTCTATCTTACTTTCATTGCACAAGCCTAAGATTTTCTTAGACCCGTGTGTGATGATGCTGATCCATCTGGGTTTTGTTCAATTATTTATTTATTTATTTAGGAAGCCAGCTTGAGGCCAACAAAAAGGCCATGAACATCCAGGTTGGTAGTCCCTTTGCAAGCTTGGCTTTAATTTCTTTCAAAGTATTATGCTTTATGATGGGTTTTGCTGTTTGATTTATTATTAAGCTATATATCATTTGTTGGTGCTTAAATTTCATTCACCCAAAAAAAAGGGTGCAACTCAAATTTTGTTTATTTTTTGTTATCCATTTCGTTGATGAAGAATTTCATGGTTTGAATAGATTTAAGAGCCCGTGACTTATCTAATGTTTGTACAGAAACTTTACTTCAAAATTTTACTTTGCTGGGGTTTGGAGATTTTGGCTTTTGTGATTTGGTATTGTAACTTGATTGATTGGCAATGAGGAAATGTATGTTATATATGTATACATATCCATCCCTACTGAATCATGTCCACTTGATAATGGGCAGATACTAAGTTGCAGTAAAAAATCAACAAATGAAATTTATTCAAATATGATTTACTCACTTGACATCCCTTATGCATATTTTTATGCTTTAAAACCCATTCAGAATGATATTGTTTTAATCAATTTCCTATAGATATTCGTACTTGTGTTTTCCATTTGTATCGGTTTCTTGCGTTGTTATCATTTTCAATCTTAGGAGATGCTTCGTTAATTTGCTTATTTGTTGTTGATTATAAGTTGCCTCAAGTTCATGTACATGTGAGATGTCTAATTCTGCTTTTGGACTAGTGATCTCCATGGGTTTTATAAGTCTTTTTTCTCTATAAGCACGACTTGTACAAAGATATTCTTGGATCAGAACACCTTATTTTAAAAACCTCACAACAAGTTTAGAGAAAATAGAATGGCACATTTTAATCTTTCATCCTGCATTCTTGTGAGTTTATTATTCCTACTATGTAGCTTGGTGGAATTCCATACCTTGATAATGATGAGGTTGTGAGAAGCTATGACTGACATATTGTGCTTGATTCACTTATTTTACTTGCTCAATGTCATTGCATTAGAAATAGTTTTTAAACTCTTTGACAAAGTTTGTGACCCGGTTTGCTCTTGTTATAATTGTTGTCGGTGTTGTCGCTCGTTTCGTTCCTTCAATGATGCATCTTGGCGGGTAATGGTTACCGAATGCAGTGCAAGGTGTGCATGCAGACATTTATATGTACCACATCAGAGGTGAAGTGCCGGGAACATGCTGAAGCAAAGCACCCTAAGGCTGATGTTTATTCTTGTTTCTCACATCTTAAAAAGTGATCCTTAAAACTGCAAAACTTGCAGACTGGGACGGGCTTTAGAATGTATTATGTATCTAGCTACTCTGGCTTTAAAATGGTTTTAGTTAATGAAGTTGTCTATTCAACCATCCAATATGCCCAAAAGAAAAAAGTCTGTTAAAGACTATGAAAATGGTGTTGAATTGGATTTTGAATGTTAAATTACTAGGCACAGATCAATTTAGATATCTGGATGGGAGCTTGCATTTCATAAATCTACTGTATGTTCATTAAAAATATATGAATTGGCTAAAGCTTATTTGTCTTGCACAAAGTTGCTCTGATCTATTAGTAATTTTTTCGTGTGACAGTCACAGTGTCGCATGGTTTTTTTCCAATCCATGTTATATGTGTATTACTATATCATAGTATATAAATTATGCCGTTCATTCATATTACAATGTTTGGATTAATAACATCACGTGACGGTGTGATGGTCTCGCTTTAAAATTTCTTTTCTTTTTTGGTCAGATTTACCATAGTCAGCCAACCTCATTTTCCTATTGGCCAAAAAAGAATCCTAGTGACCCACTCACCCATATTGTCAGGCAAAATTGTTGGTACTGAACTGATTGCCCACCATGAATGTCTTCGGTCAAAGAAGTTTCACAGGGCAGGTTCCAAATCACTCATTAAGCATCAGCCCAGAACTTACTCAAGCATATTGGGCCATTGGCTTTTACCAACCGACAAATAAAGAAGGAAATTTCCCCTCCACTCAATTCTTTCTTTGTGTGGAAAGTCGTTTCTGTGAGGACACTAATAATAAAAATCCACATGCTCTCGAAAAAGACATATTTTACATCCAAGTTGCTAAGTTTGTGATTCTTCCATTCTAAAGGTGTAATGCTTTATAATTCAATTCTTTTTTCAACTTTTATCCAAATTCTCACAAATGAAGTGGAATCCATAAAATTGTATCCGAGCAAGACCTATGTAAGGAATTAAACTTTTGTTACAAAGGGTTTGTATTAGGTCACATGATGAGAAATAAAGGGTATAATCTCCTGACAAAAAAGTTGAAGTAATTGTGATAAGTCACGTGATGAGAGATCAATATAGGAAGGAAGTATAAACTCATTACATACACTACTTTTTATAATAAAGTTTGTTGTGAGCAAGAGAGTTAGGAAAATAGCAGAATAATAGTTCGATTATATTCTAGCATCTTCCCTATAGAAAAATGAGAAATAAAAAACAGGACCTTCAACCTTTTGATCCCTTTGAACATGAACATGGTACAAGAGGGCCCAGCATATATATAATGGGTTGAATTCAGGCATGCCTGCCTAACATGGCAGGACATAATTGGCAAAAGCCAAAACTAGTTCAAAAGACAAACTCACCAAACTCACTTCACACTGTACCCGGTATACTGCCCTATTTGTTTTGGTGTTTCCCCATAGTCACCACCCTCGCCCACCAGCTCAGCAGCTAAGACTAGGTCTTCTCCAATTTCCCAGATCACCCCTCAA